TTTTTCTACCTTATCCTCCAGCTCGCTGATTTGTTCCTCTGCTTAATCGAGCCTACTTTTGATTCCTTCTACTGGGTTCTTCAATTCAGAAATGGTGTTCTTCATTCCTTCTTGTCTCTTATTGATAGTTTCTATGTCCTTTTTCATGCTGATATAGTTTGCAGTAAGTTCCTTGTAGTTCCCCTGTAGTTTTTTGTAGTTCTCCCTGAGTTCACTGAGCTCATTGAGCTTCCTTAGAACCGTTGTTTAGAACTCGATATCTGATAGTTTACTTGGCTCTATTTCATTTAGTTCTACTTCTGGGGATTCCTCCTTTCCGTTTGATTGTGGGGGGGGTGTTTCTTTGTCTTCCCAGTATTTGTGAGACTCTTCTTTTTTGCTTCTGCTTCTTAAATTGATCTGTCTTGATTTCCTGACTTTGTCCTGTGAACTTCTATGGTAGGGGATTTCTGTTTTTTCTTTCTGGATCTGCCTCTGATGATGTCAGATGTTGACCCTGTCTGGCCTTAGGCAGTCTGTTCGAGACTTCCAGGAATCTACTGTCTGTGGCTGTCTCCTTCTGCTGTTAATCTAGTCACTCTGCACTCGGCAGTCAGGCTTTGACACCACAGGGCAGGGTAGTGTCCCTCTTGGTGGCAGGGTTATTGGATCCTCTCATGCTGTTGCTGCTCAGGGGAGTGGGCTTCCTGAGCCAGAGGGCTGCTGCTGTGTGAGGGATGAGTCAGTACCAGGATCCCGCCTGCTAGTCTCTCCGTTCTCACCCCAAAGCCTCCATCTCCAGTCTCTCCTCAAGTGTCTCTAGACCACTCTGCACCCCCTTTAGCCAGGGATCTACGATCTGTGGCTGCCACTCTGTACTCAGCTATCAGGCTTCATTTAGCACCACTAGGCCAAGGCAGAGTCCCTCTTAGGGGCAGTATTCTCTTACGCTGTTGCTGCTCAGAGGAGTGGTCTGCCTGAGCAAGATGGCTGCTGCCATATGGCAAGGGGGCATGAGCCAGCACTGGGATCCCATCGGCTACTCTCTCAGTTCTCTCCCCAAAGCCTCCTTCTGCAGTCTCTCCTCTAGCATCTCTAGCCCACTCTGCCCCCACTTTTGCCAGAAACCAGGGTAAGTGGCTTCAAATAAAAATTCATGCATGGCCCCTTTAAACAGCTCTTCCTGTCTCCAGATGCCTGTCTCTGGCAGAGAGCAACCCTGCCGCTTTTCACAGTTGGTTGTTATCTGTACTTTTTGGGCTCTGGTGCTGTAGGCTGAAGATCCCTGCTTATGGTTTAGACCCCATTCTTCTCAGGGGGATCCAACTTGCCCTTTCAATATCCTTCTGGTGCTGCCATCCATGGGCGCATGTCTGCCTTCTCAAGTCTATACCGCACTTCTTACCAGTTAGGTTTTGCTAAAGCTGATTCTTCTGTCTATGCGAGGTTATAAGGCTCCTCTCTCACTATTGCTCAGTTGTTTGTTCCAGGTGATTTCCCCACAATTTAATTGTAATTCCAGATTGGTCCTGGGAGGAAGTCAGTGTGATTTCCATTCATTCTTCCGCCATCTTAATTGCCTCTCCAAATCTTAATCTTAGACTTTCCAGCCTCCAGAACTGTAGGAAATAAGTGTCTGTTGTTTAAGTCACCTGGTCTATGGTATTTTGTTATTGCAGCCTGAGCAGACTAACACACAAAGCAACCAGAAACTCATTAATAGAAGAAACAACATCTGAATTAAACTAAAGCCATAATGTATTCACCTGAAAGACTGTCCCCGAAATTTGTAAGGAGATAGAGAAAGCTGAGGAAAAAATTAGAAGGGGAGAAGAATTTAAAAAGCAAATCCACTGTGCATAACTACATGAAAATACTATTCACTTATTTCACTTTTTGACTTAAGGTACTGCTCCTCTCTACAACTGCTGTATGTTTTATCACCTGTATGGACAGCTGAAATCCAAAGATTGCCTGGACTGACACAGCAACAGTTCTTTTCTACAGATTTTTCTTAATTTGATGTAAATACTTTCAAACAGACCAATTTCTTTCACCTGAAAGACACTGAAGCCGATGAGGAGCACAAGGGGAAGGCCATTGGGTCACACAAAGATCTCCCCAGTGCTTGGCAGGAAGCACAGTGTAAAATCCCAACCTGCTTTCCCCAAAACGTGAGACTTTAACTTCATGATTAGGCACCTCCATAGTGCCCATATGCTACTTTATTTTTCTAGTCCATTCTCTTCATATTTTCCTCAAATCTCCAACACTTCCCATTCCCATCTTCCCTCCCTCTCAACTGATGGCCTTGATTTCTACATCACTGAGAAAACGGAGGCAATCAGAAGAGAACTTGAGCATCTACCCCCCTAACTGGCATCCTTGCCTGTATCCACTACCTCTGTCCCTATTAACAGGAATATGCCATCTGTGCTCTCGGTCAATCTCTCTGTTTATGAACTAGAACCTAAGGACATGACTCCAACAAATCTCCTTCCTCTCTCTTTCATCATTTTTTTTTTTAACTCTTTACTGAATCATTCTCAAAAGAATGCAAATATGCTATTATTTTTACTAATGACCCCAAAGTTGCTTTTCCCCTGGTCTTCCCCATTTCAGTTAATAGTAACTCCATCCTCCCAACTGTTCAAGCCAAAAACTTTGTAGTCATTTTTGATTCTACTCACACCCTCCTTCTAAGCCATCAGCAACTCTGTTAGGCTCCTTCTTCAAAATAAGTCCAAAATTCAACCACTTCTCACCACCTTTGCTGCTACCAACCTGGACAGAACAACCATCATCTTTTGGTCTGAATTCCTGTTCCTGTCATGCTGCTCCTTCATTGTTCCCCTACCTCCCTTGATCCTTCTTATTCCCAACATAAATCACTGAAAAAATTAATGACATTCATAGTTTTAAAAACATGCTCCTCTAGCTCTGGGATTTGTCTGTTTCTCTTTGGTCCTGATTTGTTCACTTGCATTCCAAATATATGAAAGGCTGAAACAGTGTTCCAGGGAGACTTCTTCAAGTAACAGCGACTAAAGAACAATTTTCATTATGTTGGAATGATCAGTGTGGTGACTGACTTGGAACCACAGTCCTATGCAGACAGTAGTTACTAAGACACAAAAGGATTTTCACTGAATCATACCACCTCCTAAATTATCACATTCATTTGTGTTTTCATGCTGGAGACATTGCTCCAAACTCCGAATGGTATATTTAGGTCAGCTTGTGAAAGGATAAAAAAGGGTTAAGCAAAAGGAAAATTAAAATAATCTTTTTTTAATAGGAATTGTAGCCATTCAACTTCCGAGCTATTTTAAATATAGCGACGCATAAACTTTAGAACCTTTGACTCATACATAATAAATTTATGAAGACTACTCCTTCCAAGTTTCCTATCTCTGTAAATGGCAACTACATCCTTCCTCTGGCTCAGGCCAACACCTTTGGAGTCTTCCTTGACTCGCCTTTCCCCTCAGGTCTTTACACTTGCTGTTCCTCTGCCTGGAGTGTTCTTTCCCCAGATCATCACCTTCTCCATTTTCCAACTTCTCAAGTATCTCATCAGTGAGCATTTCCCTGAACAGCCAATATAAAACAGTAAACTCCCTTCCAACACTGCCAATGATGTTTTCTCTGCTTTATTGTTCTTGAAGCACTTCATACCTACATACACTGCACATTCGGCTTATTTTACTTGTTTATTAGTTTACTGACTCTCTCCCCCCACTAGAATGTAAGCTACAGGGACAGAAATTTTGTCTGTTTTGTTCAATACTGAATCTCCAACTGATAGAACACCTAACACACAACAGGCACTCATATATTTGTATTGTTAATGGAGATAACTAAGTGAAACTGGGACAACCGCCTGAGGAAAGGCAACCATTTAATCTTCAAATTTCTCACTTATTCATCCAAACAACCTGTATAAGAACAAAAGCATCTTTCCAGATTGCATACTGGTAACATTTGGTAATAAGTTTAGGAAGAAATGAAATATTTACAACTTCATATCATATAAACTATAGCCCATTCTTTAACTTCATTAACATAAAACTAGAAATTATTTTGAGAATTACAGGCAGCAGGTGGCATCAGAGTTTTACATGATATCCAGTAGATTTAAATTTTCCTACAATCTGGTTTCACCATCAGTCATCGAGCTACCTATTCTTTTGAGCTGCCAAGCATTAATAGGCCCAGAACTTGTCTACTCTTACTGGAAACATGATCTCCCAAGCATTACCTTAGCATTTGGAATATCCAAAGAGAAGTACAAGTACTTTATCTGAACTATTACAAGAAAGATCTCTTGCCAAAATACCGAACAAGTTCTCAGATTCAAGCATACTTAAAGTTAAAAAAAATGAAAACATAAATCAAAACAATTATATTAACTATATTAACCTACAACGAGGAGGAGGCATCACTGATATCCAAGGAAAGAAAATTACTGTCAAGTTTTTATAGACTAATTTTATAGAGGAGTTATCGGAACTCTTTCTCAACAATAGAGTACACGAAAAGTCTGTACAAAGGTCGCCATGTATTTTCTGTAGCTTTGCAGAAAAAAATATTAAATCCAATTCTTGATAAAGTTAAACCATCATGACTTTAAAATTCTCAGTATGTTTTGCATGTTCAGCGGACTAATTTAAGGAGCTAAAATATAGAGCTAAAATCAGTGTTTTCACTCCATTCCCATGATGCACATGTCACCAAGTTCTTAGGCAACTTTGTGCAACAGCAAACAAAAAAAGAAAACTCAGAAGCAATGAAAACAGAGAGGCGAGCGCACACTCAGGCGATGTCTCACATTCTAACAATAGAGGTGCGACTTGTAACCAGGTGGCTCAATGACAAAAATCGCAAGATTCTATCAGTGGTGAGGTGCTTCCATGGCCAGAGGACAGCGTCAAGGTCTGCCGCGCATCTCACACTCCACGCCCTCCGTCCCCCCAGCAGCCCTGGAAGCGTGGGCCTCGCAGTGCGGGGTTCCCTCTCACCATCACTGCACTTATACTGGCAGAGCCCATCCTCGCCTCCCAGGAGGTCCAAGGCGGCGTTCAGGTACGTGTCGATCTTGTGAACGCCATTCCGGATGGTCTTCAGGGTGGCTCTCCAGTCGGTGGGCTGGGCCTCTTCCTGGCACCTGAGCGCAACAGTGAAGACGAGGAGGAGGAGAGCGAGCGCGGGACACCGGAGCAGGGCCATCCGCGCAACGCCCAGCCGCGTCGGGACCACCAGTCCCTGGAGCCGCGTGCTGCGCGCCCCACAGAGCCGCTGGGGCGTCCTAAGCAGCAGCACGCACCCCCACCCTCCACGGCCGAGGCCAGTTCCTAGCCCACACCTACCTCCCAGTTGGGAGGCGGGCCCTTGACTCCGTCACTGCACTCCCGCGGGACTCGGAGCCCCGGAGCGCCTGCGCCAGAGCGCCGGGCAGCGGAGAGGCGGGGGAGGCGGGGGAGGCGGGGGAGGCGGGGGAGGCGGGGAGGCGGGGGAGGCGGGGGAAGTGCGGGAGGTGCCAGTGCAAGAGGGCGATGATCTCCACGCCCAAGTGGTCGGAAGGCAAGTCCCAGATGCGTTGCGTCCTGCCAATAATAATGCTTGAGCGGGTCGAACTAACTAGACAGTCCTATGTGACCTCTCCCCTCACCCGGAGGCTGATGGAGTCCCAGGAGGCAAAGAGCATCGGTATTTTTTAAAAGCTCCGGGTGATTATAGAGTGTCTCCCAATGGAGAACCCCGGAGAACTAATCTGCCCTGCAGTGGTTCAACCCAGCCACATGGAGGGGCAATCTTAGCTGAGTGAGGACAACGTAGGGGAGCTGAGTCCCCGTGGCCCCTTGTAGAGATCGCTGCAAGGGGTCCAGCTGAATTTTGGTTTAAAAATGTGATTCTGCGCCCGGTCCTGGGCAGAGCCCGGACTCTTCGTGCATCTTTGCCTGGTTCTCCTGCCTGGGTGGCCGCGAGAGCAGAGAGCGCAAAGCAAACACGTCACCAAGGCCAAAGCAGTGCCTGACTCACGAAGGGGATGGTGAGGTAGATGCTGTTTGACAAATTCTGGAAGAAATGGTTTGTCAATTAAAACCGTAAGTTTTCTTCCGTGGGTAAGGAAGAAGCAGTTTTAACACTTTAATGCAGTTAAAAAAAAAATCGTATGGAAATTACTGTTTTCCTACTAAAGATAGTTTGTAACTTGATAGCGCCAGTGACGTTTCTCTATTTTTTCCCAGCACTGTGCAGTATCCTTAAATAACAATTGCAGTAATTTTCACCACAGCTATAAATACCTGATTATCTTAATATCCTGGCAGTTTCCAAGAATTTTACAGTAAGATCCAGGGCGGTTTTGCAAGTGTCGGGAGTAAGTGCGGCCTTTTCATAAGAATTACAGATACATTCTAGGTTGGCGTTTTGTGGCTGTTACAAGCTTCATTTTGTAGTAATTGTAGTTTGTATAATTGTGCAGTGCAGCGTTCTTAAGAATTATATCCTTCTGTATTGAGCACCTACTCTGTGCCATGCTCTTCTGATCTCTCACATTTAGAGCACCACTTTATGGGAATGTGGTGCTTAGGCCAGTTAGAAAAAGGCAATCCCTCTGCAAATAGATGTAGCCCAATCCCAGGCCCCAGCTTTATTCAGACCTTCAGCAGGATGCCCTTAGGCTGTGATCGTGGGCACCAAAGTGGAAGAAGAAAAGAAAGGAGACTGGATGGTATTACTTTCTTTTTTCAATGCAGGAAGGAATGGCGGTACAGAGAAGTCACATGCAGTATCCCCTCAAACCAAGGCCTCTTTCTACTGTCACAAGGGCCAAAGATTATTTTTTGTTAACTTTGGACAGCACAGTTCAACACATTGAGGAATGGAAACATTTGTAGAATTATCTTTTGTAGCTTTCTGGAGTACTGGTTTTCTTATTCTGAAACGTGGGTGTTGGACTGGATTTCTTCTGAGGTCCCTCTTAGCACCAATACCAGAACTGTTAAACTGGGCTTGGTTCTTCCCAGTCTTCAGAGAAACTGCCTGGTATTGAATAAGTCTCTCAAAAGGAAAGAAAGAATGTAGGAAGGTAGCCTGTTTCCAGCCCTTAGTTAGGGAAGGCCTCCCTTTTTTTCTCTGTATATTTGCTCCTTGATGATCTCATCTCATTTCTTGTATCTTAACTACAGCCTCTGTTCTGAAGGCTTGGACTTAGTCTTCTCTGTCTCTCTATCCTTAGGCATTAAATTCTCAAACTCTTGTTTCTGGGGTTCATAGAGCTGTTCCCTTTTTGTCGCAAACTAATCTTTCCCACTGTGTTTTCTGTGGCAATAACCACAATCTATCTAGAAAACAAGATTCAAAGTTTTATTTTCACATTTTTATAGGTTTGTGGGTTGTTTTTTTTTTTTAAGATTTTACTTATTTATTTTTAGAGAGAGGGGAAGAGAGGGAGAAAGAGGGAGAGACACATCCGTGCCTGAGAGATAGGTTGCCTCTCCCACACCCCCAAATGGGGACCTGGCTCTCAAACCAGGCATGTGCCCTGACTGGGAATTGAACCAGTGACCTTTATGGTTTGCAGGCCGGTACTCAATTCCCTGAGCCACACCATCCAGGACCACATATTTTTTTCATATTTAATCATTAGATATTTGTTGTTCTGCTGCAATAATACCAAGACTTGCTTTTTCTTAATTCCTGTTGTCAGATACCAGAGTTCAGCATTGACCATATGACCAGCTAAATAATTTGCAGTACTCAGTATAAAATAAAAATGCTGAGGCTCTTGTTCAAAAATTATGAGTGTGAAGGTGATGACAGGAGAGCATTAAAGCAAGTGTGGAAGGCTTCTGAGTTCAGGACCTCGTGCATCTCTGCATGAAACTAGCCCTGACTGACCAAATCATATACCTTCTTCTAGATAATCCACCTCCATCTTTCCTTCCTAAATTGTTAACATAAAATGCTTGAAAAGAGCCTCCTTTACAAATGCTTTCATCTAATCAGCAACACCTGTTATTACTGTGACAGAGTATTGGTTGCTGTCTTCCGGATCTAACCTGTTTGCGCGTGGCTAGTTTATCTATAAATGCTTTGACTGTGGATGGCAGAAGCTGCCCAGGAAGCCAGTTAGGACATAATAAACTAGAAAGGACATTATTATGGTTTGGCCCAGGGAGGGAGCAGTGGAAGTGTGAAAAGCGTCACATTCTAGATATGACCTGATGGTAGAGCCAACGGGATTTATGAATGGATAGAATATGGTATATGAAGGAAAGAGGAATCAAGAATGACTGTGTGGTTTTAGGCCTACATGATTAGAAGGGTAGAGAGTTCTTGCTAACTGAAATGAGGATTCCAGAGGAACAGATTACCGGGGAAATTTAGAAAGATAATTTCAGACATGTTTGAGAAGCTTATTCTAAATCTAGTTCAGAGAAGGGATAAGGGCTGGAAATAAATTTGGAAGTCACCAGCATAGAAATGGCTTTTAAAGCAATGGGCCTAGATGCAATTCTCTAAAAAGTGAGTGTGTAAGGAGAAGCAGAACAAGGTCTAAGTCACTGGAGGTCAGGGAACTAAGAATTGGTGAAGGAGACTGAGCAGGAGTGGTTGGTGCAGCGGGAGAGGGCAGTGTTTGAGTGTGTCAATGGAAGACAGAGCCATCCATTCAGCTGATGTGGAAGAAGTGGAGGACTGGATATTGATCACTGGCTTTAGTAAGATGGAGGTTATTGGTAAACTTCACAACAGAAGTTTCAGTGAGTATTGGGGACAAGACATAATTGTAGTCAGAGAGATTGGGAAATGCAATTGTAGTCAATATTATCAAAACAAAATGATGAAAATATTAAGTATGCCATATTTGTGCTGATTCTTGTCTGAATGAGTACCTTGGAATCTGATCTTCTGGGTGGTTGAGACTAGGCTTTGTTTTCTATACAGTGCAATTATAAGGAAAATCAGTGAGACACTCCTTCTAGAAGCCCCGAATGGTTCCTTCACTGTACATGGATCATTACGGAACATGATTGTATTAATGAGGTAAGAATGCAAAATTTATTGGGTTTAATGTAAAACATTAACTCAGAATACTTAGAAACTAGAATCTTATGCAATCCTTTGTGTTTGAAATCACACAAAATCAACAAAATGCAAATTATCAAGGGCAGTTTCTGTTTTTTAGTATTTTCCAGTGTCTCATTAAATGACCTCAACAGTGTTGTTGTGATGAAAATAAATATCATGTAGTGAAACTATTCCAGTCATAAAAATCAGTCTTTGCCCAGTGTGAAGACTGGAAGATTAGTTTCTAAAAGGAGCTCTAATTAAGGGGAAATAAGTTATAGTTTCCAGCATCTGTCTAAAAAAATCAATGGCATGAATAACTTTCAAGCTGTGGGTGAAGTAAAGGACAAGAAATGGCAGTACCACATCTGTGAGCGTGGGTTGGTTTCATGATATCTTGAAGATAATGGCTCTCTGTGTGGGAATGTCTACCATCAGACAAATTTGATCAGCATCTTAGTCCATCTGGGCTTCTGTGACAAAATCCACAGACTGGGTGGCTTATAAACAACAGAAGTTTATTTCTCACAGTTCTGGAGGCTGGAAATTCAAGATCAGGGTGCCAGCAGGGTGGGTTCTGTGGAGGGCTCTCTTCTGGATTGGAGACTACTGACATCTTGCTGGGTCCCCGCATGGTGGAAAAGGTGTGGGATCTCTGGGATCTCTTTTATAAAGACACTCTACCCATTCACGAGGGATTCACACTTAGGACCTAAGACCCCACTTCCTAATACCATCACATGGGGCATTGGGATTTCAATACATGACTGTGGCAGGGGTACAAACATTCAGACCATAGCAACCAGGACGGGAGGTTTTTAAATGATCTTTGTGGGTAGAATGTGCGGTTACTTCACACAGAGAGGAAGCACTGGAGAAGATGGAAAGGAACCCACTTACTGAGACTGCAGGGTTTTAGACCATCAGGACAAATTCAGGTGCATGGTTATCCTTGACAGGGTTTTGGCTACTTCCAAAACTCTGGCTGATATTCAGCTTCATATTTTCTACTGCATGTGATGATACATCCTCCCTGGGCTTCCAGAGATAGCATGTCTTCAAAATACCCCTAACTAAACCTATTTTTTTCTACTCTTATTTTTATTTCTGTATGGCAATACCAATGACATCATTATCCAAGAGAAAACCTGGGAGTTATCCTAGACTCACAGCTCTCTCCCTAGTGCCTTGTCATTTCTTCTGTCCCCAGTGCCACTGATTTCACTCCTTAACATATCTAGAATCAGTGCCATTCTCTTTAAAAGTAACCTGCTTTAAGAGGCCATTGCCTCTCTTCTGAAATTTCCCCCCA